CTTTTTAAAAGAAAAAGCTGTCCACTGATAGCATTCAGTGTTTACGTTTATTTCCTGGTCACTTTGTTTCTACTTTCCCAGTCCAACAAAAAACAATCAGATTTGGTTAATATTAACTTACTTTTGATTCTTGAAATTAAAGACTCATTTTCTCCCAAATTGTATTGGTTTGTACCATATTATATATTTTCCAGCTAGAGTCACAATATACTTAGACCTAGAGCCGGCCTGTTTGCTATCAGTTTGTTGTCTACAGCTTTGCAAACCTTTTATATGCTTCTGCGTGTTTTGAAATCATTTGGGTATCCTAAAACTCACTCTCCACCTCTCTTGAGTGTCGAGAGCTGGATAAACTAATTTGTATCAAGATAAAATGAAGCTCCTAATGCCTGGATTTGCTTTTCAGACTGTGGCTTATGCTGATTTATAATAACTATGGGTAAGCATATTCCTGGACTGTCATTCTGGCTCAAAGATTTTGAAGTAAAGGATGTTTATAATAAAACACAGGTCTATATATTATAAAGTGAATAATGTATATGAATGTTTTAAAGAAAGCACAAAACTTTAAAAATATTTCTACCTTGCACTTAACTTCAGGTTATACTCACATTTATTCATTCATTCAGTAATAATTCACTCATTCATTCAACAACAAATATTTCTTGGGTACCTGCCATGTGCTGAAGAACTCTTTCAGGTTCTGCAAACACAACATAGGAATGAGAAAAACAGACAAAAATTCTTTTTTCTCTTTACATTTTTTACATGGGACAGAGAGATAAAGGGACAGAACAAACAACTAAATAAAATGTGTCCGTGTGGGTAACCCACAGGCAGGGAAGATTAGGCTGATCTGCAGAGCCCAGTGTACTGGCCAGGTGAGTGGCTCTCCACCTGTAAAGGCCTGTGTCAAACCATACGTGTCATATGGTATTAGGAGTCATAAAAAAAAGTAAGGCAGGGAAGGAGAAGAACTGGGGGTAGAAATGGGCTACTAAACAGAGTGTTGGAGGAGAGTTGCAATGTTAAATGGGTTTCTAAGGAAAGATTTACTGAAATAGCATTTGAGCAAGAATCCAAGGGAGGTACAGGCGGTACACCATGCAAAAGTCAGGGGGAAGAGAGTTCCAGACATAGATAACAGAGAGTGCAAAGGCCCTGAGGTAGGTGCATTCTTAACATATTTCTTGAAGAGCAAAGAAGCTAATGTAGGGTAAAGAATGGCACAGATATTACAGAATTTTATAAGGACTTTAGCTTTTAATCACAATGAGATGAGAAGTCACATGAGGATTTTGTGCAGGGAATAGGACTTGATTTGATTTACTTTTTAAAAGGAGCACTCTATCTACTATGCTGAGAACAGATTATAAGGGGTTCAACTGTGAAAATAAGAAAAACAATCAGGAGGCTATACAGTAAGCCAGGCCAGGGATAAAGATGGCTTAGACCATGGTAATAGCAGCGAAGGTGATGAGAAGTGATCCAGTTTTGGATATACTGCTCCTTAAAGAATGGTTGTAATTACACTGGGTTGGCCCAAATAATCTAGGATAACATCTTTATTTTAAGGTTAACTGGTTAGCAATCTTAATTTCATCAGCAACCTTAATTCCCCCTTTCCATATAACACAACATATTCATAGGTTCTGGGGACACCTTTGGGAGGAAAAGGGAGGAAGAATTGTTCTGCCCATCAAACATGTGCTTATTTCTTCTTTGGTGTAGCATTAGTTCAAGTCTTTTGCCCATTTTTAAAATGGGTTGTTTGGTTTCCTACTGATGAGTTTCGAGAGTTCTTTATATATTCTAGGTACAAGTCCTTTGTCAGATGTGTAATTTGAAAATATTTTATCTCAGTATGTAGCTTTTTAAAAAAATTTAAATTGCTTAATGTCATCTTTCACAGAGCAAAAGCTTTTAATTTTGATGAAAAGTTTATCACTTTCTTCTTTCATGGATTGTACATTTAATGTTGTGTCAAAGAACTCCTTGCCTAACCCCGGGTCAACAAGTTTTCTCCTGTGTTTTCTTCTAAAAGTTTTACATTTTACCTTTAGATCTATGACATATTTTCAGTTATTTTTGTATTAGGGATAAGGTTTATATCTAGGTTGATCATTTTATAAGGACGTCCAATTGTTCCAGCCTCATTTCTTGAAAAGAT